ACTAACTAAACCGGCTTTCAGCTCACCGAGAAGCAGGGAGGAAAAAAAATTGGATTATAATTTCGTAGCCTTTTCATCCTATTTTTCGATTTCATCTCCCGAAGCTGAAAGAAAACAGATGTTCCCTCTTTTCTGTCAACCGAAATTGTTGCATTCTATGCATTCTAGGATAGCGTTTTCCACATAAGTCATTGTTACAGATAATTAATTCGTACCCTTCGATCGAAGTCTAATCTTATGCCAATATTAATTTGTAATATTTAATAGTCTCTGTTATATTATTTGGTCATATCCCGCTATTATTATTAATACGGCAACACTTCTTATGCTGTGTAATAGGAGTTATTTATTTGTAATAATATTATTAACTCCTATTATTACAAATATTAGGAGTTACTACAAATATTACAGGACTGGGAAAAAATATTTTACAAAATGGAAAGTCTCTGAAAATTCAATCGGTGAATTTTGCGCAAAATTAAAAAAAAAAAACCAGGTCGCGCTCTTTTAAGAAGCAATTGTTTGCTTCCTTAAATGGTATAAAGTATTTTTTATTTTTTATTCTCTCTCTCTCTCTCTCTCTCTCTCTCTCTCTCTCTTTTCTCTCTCTTTCTTCTCTCTATCTATCTCTATCCCTCTCTCTTTTTCTCTCTGTCTTTCTTTTCTTTCTCTTCTCTCTCTCTCTCTCCTCTCTCTCTCTCCTCTCTCCTCTCTCTCTCTCTCTCTCTGTGCCCCACAGATGAGAATAAGCAGAGGAGAAAAATCCGCTGCAGATTAGATGGATGGATGGATGGATGGAAGGAGAGAAAAACTGGACTATTTAAAATATCGCAAACAGACACGAAGCGTTTTGATTGTCTTCGCCCATCTTCCTCCTCTGTCCTCACGGCCGCTTTGGCTTTTTAAAAGCGGGGCTTTTAAATTTATACTGCCCCCAAACTGAAGTTGCCTCTCCCGGTTTGCTTAAACCTTAAAATCTTCCACGCCTTTGTTTTCTGTAAGAACCTTTTCTTGCCTATTGCAGAGAAAGCCCACGGCACACGAGCAAAACGCAACGTTTTCTTGGAAAATGTCTTTTTTTTTTTTTTTTTGGCGGATGGGGCGTCCTTCCCTTGTCGCTTTTGGAAACAAAATTCGCTCGGAGCAAAATGTTAGTGCGACGCTTTAGCTCTGAAAGCGAAAGAAAAATTGCACCAAGAAGCCATTAAAAGAAACGGGAAAGTCGTTCTCTGTCTCTCTCTCTCTCTCTTTTTCCTTTCTTTTTCTTTTTCTTTTTCTTTCTTTTTCTGTTTCTCTCTCTTTCTGTCTCTGTCTCTCTCTTTTTCACTTTCTCTATTTCTCTCTCTCTTTCTCTGTCTCTCTCTCTCTCTCTCTCTCTGTCCCTGTGTGTGTGTGTCTCTGTCTGTCTCTCTGTCTCTCTCTTTTCTTTCTTTCTCTTTCTCTTTCTCTTTTTCTCTCTCTCTGTCTCTGTCTCTCTCTCTCTCTTTCTTTCTTTCTATTTCTCTTTCTCTGTCTCTGTCTCTCTCTTTCTTTCTCTCTCCCTCTCTTTCTTTGTCTGTCTCTGTCTCTCTTTTTCTCTCTGTCTCTTTCTTTCTCTTTCACTCGGTCTCTCTCTCTCTCTTTCTTTCTCTGTCTCTCTCTGTCTCTGTTTCTCTCTGTTTCTCTCTTTGTCTTTCTTTCTCTCTCTCTCTCTCTTTCTCTCTCTGTCTCTCTTTCTTTCTCTTTCTCTTTCTGTCTCTCTCTCTCTTTCTTTCTCTGTCTCTCTGTCTCTGTTTCTCTCTGTTTCTCTCTTTGTCTGTCTTTCTTTCTTTCTCTCTCTCTCTCTTTCTCTCTCTGTCTCTCTTTCTTTCTTTCTCTGCCTCTGCCTCTGTGTGTGTCTGTGTGTATCTCTGTCTGTCTCTCTCTTTTTCTTTCTTTCTCTGTCTCTCTTTCTCTCTTTTTTTCTCTCTCTCTTTCTCTTTCTCTCTCTCTCTCTGTCTCTGTGTGTCTCTCTTTCTCTTTCTGTCTCTCTCTCTCTTTCTGTCTCTCTCTCTCTTTCTCTCTCTCTCTCTGTCTGTCTCTCTCTCTCCTTTCTCTTTCTCTTTCTGTCTGTGTGTGTCTCTCTTTCTCTCTTTCTCTTTCTGTCTCTCTCTCTCTTTCTCTGTCTCTCTGTCTCCCTTCCTTCCTTCCTTCCTTCTTTTTCTCTCTCTCTCTCTGTCTGTCCCCCCTCCCTCCCTCCCTCTATTCTGTGTGTGCCTGCGCATGTATTTCTCTTCCGGATTCTAGGTCCTGTTTCCTTCGCACCACAATCTCCTACCATCCTTTCGGGATCATCCCGTGTTTTTGTTTTAGGAAAAATAAAATGCTGGTCGATGAAGGCTTTTTTTTCCTTATCAAGCCTCTGAATTTATTTCTATTTACACGTTTCTCCTGCTTTTCTTCTCGGCAGCCACAGGACCCTGGGATACCCACGGACATAAAGGGACGAAGGAGCCCCGTCAGTCTGCAACTGGGAAAAAAAGTCAGGAGCCTCCTAGCTTTATTATTCCCCCCCCCCAAACTAACCAGATTTATTAAAAAAAAACATTTGGGACCCAAATCTTCCCCTCATCAGGGGGTTCTGCAGTCTTGGTGAGGAAGACCGTCCGGCTGGAGACAAATGGATAACAATTAAACAATTGTTAAGGGATGAAAAAAAACCGTTTGTGTTTTTGGTGAGACCTTCGGAGATCACAGCAACATCGCGACTCACTCTTGAGAGAAAGATAATTCCAGGAGAATCTCAGAAGGTTTCCGCAAATCTGAAGGGGCTTTGACAGACTTGTCAATCAATTAAAAAAAAAAAAAAATGCAGAAAGGAGCAACTAAGACGATTAAGGGCCTGGACTCTATATCTATCTATCTATCTCTATCTATCTATCTATCTATCTATCTATCTATCTATCTATCTATCTATCTATCTCTCTATCTATCTATCTATCTATCTATCAAACTATTCTAAAATTACGATTTCCAGGTATATTAGTAAAAAAAAAGAAGCAGACATACTGCGAACTTACCAAGAGCCTTGGTAGTACAGTGGTCTAAAGCACCCTGTTATTAAGGCCAGCTGCCTGCAATTACAGCAGGTTCGAATCTCGCCAAGGCTCAAGGTTGACTCAGCCTTCCATCCTTTCTAAGGTACCAGAAGCTGTGGGTGCTTCCACCATTGCGGGATTTAAGAAAGAGACTGGACAGCTCTTTAGTCTGGAATAGGATAGGATCTCTTGCTTTGAGCAGGGGGGGTGACTAGAAGACCTCCAAGGTCCCTTCCAGCTCTATTTCGATTGAATTGGAATAGGGCCCTTGTCATCCTTCTCTCCCCGCCCCTCTCCCAGCGCTCCTACGCCCTTCCCTTCCCCCGCTTCGTCCCATTCAAATCCCGGCTCGATCCAGCTCAGGACAAACCGCGGTGATCTCTTTTTGACAAAATCGCCTGGCCAGATTCCTTTTGTCCCCTCGAGATCTTTGCAGAAGAGCCTTGGTGGCGCAGCAGACTAAAGCGCTGTTAAGTAGCACCAGCTGCCTGCAATTACTGCGAGTTCGAATCTCCCCAGGCTCAAGGTTGACTTCAGCCTTCCATCCTTCCGAGGTAGGTAAAATGAGGACCCGGATTGTGGGGGCAATAAACTGACTTTGTATACAAAAGAACACCGCTTGGGGGGTGGGGGAGGGAAAGCCCTACTAAGCAGGTATATACAAAAGTATGAAGGCTATTGCTTAAAAGCATTGTAAGCCGCCCTGAGTCTCCGGAGAAGGTGGCATATAAATCGAACCAATAAATAAATAAATAAATAAATAAATAAATAAATAAATAAATAAATAAATAAATAAGAAAGATGCATTTCATGTAAAAGCGTAAAGTTTTCCACACTTAGGATGGGAAAAGTACGATTCCTATCAAACGAAGAAGCGTCTCTTCTCAGGCTCACCTGGAGGCGCAGTAGGGCTGGGGTCCACGAAGGGTCGCGGCTGCCCGTTCCTTCCACGGGGGCCGGGGCCGTTTTTCTTCCCCAGCGGCCGGCTCTCTAGGTGGCTCAGTGGCTAAGACGCTGGACTTGTCGATCAGAAAGGTCGGCGGTTCGAATCCCTTCGTGTAGGTCTCCTGCGTGAGCGGGGTGGGGTGGGGTGGAGGGTTGGACTAGATGACCTCCAAGGTCCCAACTCTGTTAGTGAAAGCCGCCCGACGGATCTGGGAGACCGAGGGGAGGGAGGCGGCGAAAGCCCCACGATCCCGCGAACCCCGCGAAACTCACTTAAATCCAGGCAGCCTCGGCGACTTCGGAAGGTGGGCCGGGAACATGGCTTCACGGGTGGGGGGCTGGCTTCGACAGGGAGGCTGTCCGCCGCGCCGTTTTTCCACCAGCCCCAGGCCGCTTCTCTCCCCGCGGACCCCCCCCCTGGAATTGGCGAGACCCCTCTGGCCGCCCCAAACTCCGGGGTCGTCGCGCGGGGGAGGGGGGGAGAGCGGGATTTCCCGTGGGTAGGCCAGGTTGAGCTCCGTTCCTGGCGGGGGGGGTGTCGGGAAGCCCCTTCCCCTTCCGTCCCCCTCCCCCAAGGACACTCGCCCTTCGCCGGGCCCGGGGAAAAATGATCCACGGCGGTCTCCCGTGGATGCGTCCGCCCCTCCACGCCTTTCCCGACCGGCTCTTTCCCGCTGCGGGACCCCCGAGAGGTCAGAAGCCCTCGCGCAGAATCGGGCGGCGTGTGTGTGTGTGTGTGTGTGTGTGAGGATCGTGGGGTGGGGGAGGGGCGCGTGGGCGGTGGGAAATGGAGCAAAAAGGGACTGGAAGGGCGTGGCGAGATTTGCGCATCTGTTTTATGATTTTCTCTCTTTCTCTCTCTCTCTCCCTCCTCCCTCTCTCTCTCTCTCTCCCCAAGGCGGGGGGTGGGCTTGGCAGACCCCCTCTGTCCTCTTCTTCCCCCCCCTCCTCACACCGGATGGACCAATGAGAGCATCGGAGGAGGGCCGGCCCCCTGCCCTCCCCCCCCCCAACCTCCCGGCGTGGCGCCTCCCGCCGGTGCCTGGCTGCCCAATTGACCTAAATCGGCCAAGCGGGCGCGGGAGGGCGCGGCCCATTTCTCCGGCCTGGCATCTCCCTCCGGCCAAAGGAGTCTGGCCGGCTGGTCAGCGGCTGGCCTGCGTGGGGCGATCATGAGACCCTCCGGAACGGATCCTCCTCTCGGGCGGGGCTCCCTGAAATCCTGAAAGCGCGCAGAGGGCTCTGGCTGCCCATCCATCCCCTTGCCAGGATGCCAGACCAAGCGTCGGGCAACGTCCAGGCCGCTTCGGCTCGGGTGTCCTCCTTCTTCATCGCCAACCTCTTGGCTGCCCAAACCAAGCGGCGGCGGCGGGAGGACGAGGAGGAAGAGGAGGCCCCAGAGGAGACCCCGGCCCCCCGCGCTCAGCCCGGACGCCCCTGCGCCCTCGCTTGCTGCCAGAGCCCCGGAGCCCGCCTGGAACGGAGCTCGCCCCTGCGGGAAAGCGCCCTGGAGTGGTACCGAGGGCCCGCAAGGCTTTTAGGAGCTGCGCCAGTCCGGAAAGTAAGTCCCGCGACCCTCCACCCCCCACCCACTCCCCCTGGGCCCCCGCGGGGCAGGATCTGGGCCCGGACTCCATCCCTTCCCTCCCTCCCCCCTCCGACGCTGCTGAAAGCCCCCGCAGGGCAGAAGGGCGAAGGCGACCCCCGGTTCTCCTCCCCGGTTCTCTCTCTCTCCCTCTCCCTCCCTCTCCCCTCCAGTCTCCCTCTCTTCACTCCCTCTCTCTCTCTCTCTCTCTCTCCCCCCTCCTCTCTTCCTCTCTCTCTCCCCTTCTCTCTCTCCCTCTCCCTCCCTCTCCCTTCCTCTTCCTCTCTCTTTCCCTCTCTCTCTCCCTCTCTCCCTCTCTCCCCTCTCTCTCCCTCTCCCCCCCTCTCCTCTCTCTCTCCCTCCCTCTCTCTCTCTCTCTCTCCCTCCCTCTCCCTCTTCCTCTCTCTCTCCCTCTCTCTCTCTCCTCTCTCCTCCCTCTCCTCTCCCTTCCTCTTCCTCTCTCTTCCCTCTCTCTCTCCCTCCCTCTCTCTCTCTCCCCTTCTCTCTCTCCCTCTCCCTCTCTCTCCCTCCCTCTCCCTCCCTCTTCCTCTCTCTCTCCCTCTTCCACTCCCTCTCTCCCCCCTCTCTCTCCCTCTCTCTCTCTCTCCCTCCCTCTCTCTCTCCCTTCTCTCCTCTCCCTCTCCCTCTCCCTCCCTCTTCCTCTCTCTCTCCCTCTCCCTCTCTCCCTCCCTCTCCCTCCCTCTTCCTCTCTCTCTCCCTCTCCACTCCCTCTCTCCCCCCCTCTCTCTCCCTCTCTCTCTCTCTCCCTCCCTCTCTCTCTCTCCCCTCTCTCTCTCTCCTCTCCCTCTCCCTCTCCCTCCCTCTTCCTCTCTCTCCCCCTCTCCCTCTCTCTCTCTCTCCCGTTCCACGAAGCGGCCTACATTCCGTGGGCCTTCCCAGAAGCGTGGTTTGGGAGTGGTGACTCGCTGGTAGGAAAAGAGGTCTATTCCAGCCTTGGTGGCGCAGCGAACTAAAATGCTGTTAAAAGTAGCACTTAGCTGCCCTCTGCCTGCAATTACTGCCAGTTCGAATCTCACCAGGCTCAAGGTTGACTCAGCCTTCCATCCTTCCGAGTTAGGTAAAATGAGGACCCGGATTGTGGGGGCAATAAGCTGACTTTGTATAAAAAAGAACACCGCTTAGGTGGGGTCGAAAGCCCTACTAAGCAGGTATATACAAAAGTATGAAGGCTATTGCTTAAGGCATTGTAAGCCGCCCTGAGTCTCCGGAGAAGGGCAGCATATAAATCGAACCAATAAATAAATAAATAAATAAAATAAATAAATAAATAAATAAATAAAATAAATAAATAAATAAATATTTCAGCAGCCCCCCAACCATCCAACTGGGGCTGCTTGGGGCCCCAGCGGGTTTATTTATTTTTTTTTAATTTGATTTATATGCCGCCCTTCTCTGGAGACTCAGGGTGGCTTACAATGCGTTAAGCAGTAGCCTTCATCTTTTGTATATTTATACAAAGTCAGCTTATTGCCCCCACAATCCGGGTCCTCATTTCACTACCTTAGAAAGGATGGAAGGCTGAGTCAACCTTGAGCCTGGCGAGATTCGAACTCGCAGTCATTGCAGGCAGCTGAATGTTAATCACAATGCTTTTAGTCTGCTGAGCCACCAGGACCTTGTTTATGGGTATCCCGGACCTAGCCCAAGGCTCGGTGGGGTGACTTTGCCCCCTTGTCCAGCTCCTTGGGGGACGGGGCTGCAGAGCCCACCGCGAGGATAGGTGCCACGGCTGACCCGGCCTTCCAGCTTAGCCTTCCAGAGGTTCCAGCTGTGGAGCCGGAGTCCGGACAGGCGGGGTGTGGATCGACTGGGGGGGGAGGGAGTTTTTCCAACGATGAGGACTGATCCCTTCCCTCCCTCTCTCTCCCCTCCCCTCCCCTCCCCACCCAGCCAGCGACAGGGACTCTCCGGAGATTGGCGAAGGAGCTACCCAGCAGAAGGCAAGTCGCCAGCAACGGGGGGCAGCCGAGATTAACCCCGTCGAGGATTGCCAAGAGCCGGGCCACGCGCATCCCGGGTCCGCTGGGGCCGTCGGTGACAGCAAGCGGCATCCAGAGGAGCCGGAGGCCGGCGAGGCTCGGGCTGGCGGGCGCAAGAAGAAAACGCGCACCGTCTTCAGCCGAAGCCAGGTGTTCCAGCTGGAGTCCACCTTCGACGTCAAGCGCTACCTGAGCAGCTCGGAAAGGGCCGGCTTGGCCGCCTCGCTGCGCCTGACCGAGACGCAGGTTAAGATCTGGTTCCAGAACCGGCGCAACAAATGGAAGCGCCAGCTGGCCGCCGATCTGGAAGCCGCGCAGCTGCCTCCATCCGCCGCCCAGCGCATCGTCCGCGTCCCGGTGTTGTATCACGACAGCTCGCTGGCGGGCAGCGCCTTGGCGGCCTTACCGCTCTCCCCCCACGGCCGCCCCCGCCGCCCCCGCTGCTCGGCCTCGCAGGGGGGCCGGTCGCTTATCCGCTCAGCGCCTTCCCGGCGGCGGCGGCGGCGGCGGCCCCCTTCTTGCGGGCGCCGGTGAGAGGCCTGGTTTAAAGCCTCCCCCTTTTTGTCAAATTTAATTCGATCAGAACTGAATCGGAAGGGGTCCTTGGAGGTCATCTAGTCCAGCCCCCTGCTCGACCGCTCTATTCCATTTCAGACAGGGGGCTGTCCAGGCTCTTCTTAAAGATCTCCAATGGTGGAGTGCCTACAACAGAAGAAGAAAAGAAGTTTATCAGAGTTGGAAGGGACCTTGGAGGTCTTCTAGTCCACCCCTGCGCAAACAGGAGTCCCTTTACCATTTCAGACAGGTGGCTGTCGAGGCTCTTGTTAAAAACCTTCAGCGATAAGGAAGGACGGCAGAGTTATAGAAGAACAGAAGAACAGAGTTGGAAGGGACCTTGGAGGTCATCTAGTCCACCCCTCCTCAAGCAGGAGTCCCTTTACCATTTCAGACAGGTGGCTTATCCAGGCTCTTTTTAAAAACTTCCAGCGATGGAGCTCCCACTCTGGAGCGGCGTGGGGAAGATCCGCCCGACTTTCGCGCTTCAGCGCCATCAGAAGTTTGGGGCGCTTGACTTTTCCTTCTCCGGAGAGCCCCCATCCTATCCACCCACCCACTCCGGTGGTTATGGCGGAGCTGAGAAGGGGGAATATATATATATATATATATATCTAGAATTGCCTTGAACTCTTGCCCGCTTCGAAGACTCTAACCCCCAGCCTTATCCTGCGGAAGGACGGTCTCTGCCGAGCCTTTAACTAACAAAAGCGAAATTAAGACTTAGCAAAAGACGTTTTTCCCCCCCCCCAATGGTCGAAAATCGATTCTTTCCCAGACCAAGGAAGGAAAACGCTCCCGGCTCCTATTTTGCTCTACGAATCCCTTCTTAAAAGTACATTTTGAACGAATGATCGGCGTTTGTCGCTTCGCTTTCGGTTGGGAAAGCGGCCATCCATTTACAAAAAGCATGTACGATATTTTTGTTTTGTTAATTTATGATGCAAAGTATGTTTAAAACCGCGAATAAGGATTTGGTTTTCCTGAATTGTTCTGAATGCTGTATTAGAATATCCTAAAAAAAAAAAATACTGTATCATATTATAGCTTAATTCCGTTTTAATTCTCGACGAAGATAAATTTGTTTCCACCCCGATTCTGTTGACCGTTTTGAATCTAGAAATCCTTTCCATCACGGCCAACTGAAGTAGAGTAAAAAAAACTAGTTGGATTCTTCGGTGCGGTATTATAGGGAATATATTGTGCATGTTTAAAATTTGTTCCTTTAAATGTTCCTTTTTGTCCGCCTCTTAAGGGATAGTGGGTTTTTTAAAAAAAAAACCCACCACACTAATCCTAACATGGGCAGCTATGCTGGAAATTCTGGTGAGAAAAGGAACGAATTTGGAGAAACTATTTATGGTAGATCTCCGAGTAATTTTCTTTTCTTTTTGAAGGGCGCAAAATCCACTTTAAAACGGTTAGTTATTTTTTAAATTACTTATTTATTTTTATTTATTTATGTTTAAATTTATATGCCGCCCTTCTCCCGAAGGACTCAGGACGGTGAACAGCCAAAGGTAAAAAACATAGAATACAGAAATTTTTAAAAGCAATTTAATATATATTAAACAATTTGGCCCAACAATTAAAATGCCCCATTTAAAATTCAAATTAAAAAATTGGAGAAGTTAGAAGTTAGACATTTTTGGGTTATTTTTTTAAATTATACATTTTATAATTTTATATACATTTTATATACATTTTTAAATTTAAAAAAAAGGGACGCAGTGGCTCAGTAGCTAAAATGATGAGCTTGAAAGGTAGGCAGTTCAGCGGTTCGAGTCACTAGTGCCGTAACGGGGTGAGCTCCCGTTACTTGTCTCAACTTCTGCCAACCTAGCAGTTCGAAACCACGTAAAAAAAATGCAAGTAGAAAAATAGGGACCCCTTTGGTGGGAAGGAAATAGCGTTCCGTGCGCCTTTGGCGTTGAGTCTTGCTGGCCACATAACCACGGAGACATCTTCGGACAGCGCTGGCTCTTCGGCTTTGAAATGTCAAATGAGCACCGCCCCCTAGAGTCGGGAACGATTAGCAGTTATGTGCGAGGGGAACCTTTCCCTTAATTTTTAAGGTAGCAGTTTATATTTTGGAACAAAACGTTCACCTCTGGTTAGACGACGGAATGACCAGCACGTAAAAACGGAATGGAAAAATCGTTGGTAACGCTCGGAGGCAGATTTTGTCTAAAATGTATTTCTCGAAATTCTGAGCCGCGCGCGCTGGAGGCTTGTTTGAAAGTGGCGAATTGCGCCCGTTTTTTTGATAAAGGTGGAGTGGGGTGGAGGGGAGAAAGTCGGCAGGCGCTTGGCAGCAGGGCGGTGGGAAGCCGAGAGGCCCCCCACCATCCCACCCCCGGCCTTGCGAAGCAAAAGGATCCCATACCTCGCCGCGCGTATTTCGCTTCTTTGGATACCAAGGCGGGCGAGAGAAAGCAGCTCAGCCGAAGGGGTGGGGAAGGGCAGGGCTCAACCTATTGTCAGACCCTCCTCACTCTCTCTCTGGGGACCGTTAACCCTCCCCCCCACTTTTTCCCCGCTCCAAAGTGCTTGCGAGGGGGATGCGATCCAGAGGGAGTCCCTATCCGAGGCTTCCCGCCGCCTGGATCTCTTTGGCGCCGGCCTTGAGAGCCGGGAAGCTGACTTTCAAGTCTCAAACCACACCCCGCCCCCGTGACTTTTCTCCCCCCACTTTCCCCCCGATCGCTCTCCTGTTTCAAGCCGCAAAAGTTTTTTTTTTTTTTTAAAACAAACCTTATTCTTATTTTACGGCGCGCTCCAGTAAAAGGCAATATATTCCTTCCAGCATCTCCACCTTTGCAAGTCGGGATTTTTGACTTTCAAGAAAGGTTCCAGCAAAAAAGTGCCGCTTTTTTTTTCCTTCCTGGAAACCCACCGGCTCCCCCTACCCCCACTTTCCCAAAAAGGCCGATCAAAGCCGGACGAGAAGAGGGAGCGACCGGCGACGCTTCAAATCCCGCGCGGTACCCCTCTGCGCGCCGGGAGGGATGAACTTGGACCGGGCAGCCGAGGGGCTTCGAAGCCCTCCCTGCCGCTGGTCTCTTGGAAGAAGCTTCGTTTCCCATCCTTGGGGAACTTGTCTCCCCCCCACCCTTACCCCCCCCCCCCCCCCCCCACCACACAAGCGCAGGGGAATCCATTGGAACGGCCGTTTCCAAAGATTTTGCGCCATTTGTTTTAACTGGCCACAATTTTCGCTGTTTGCAGCAGCCCAAATTTCTGGGTGGGGTGGGAAATTACCTAATTACCTTTAAAAAAAACCCCTATATTTAGGTAAAAGAAATGTCTAAATATATGTATAATTTATGGGGTTTTCTAACGCTGTGGTTATCGGATTGCAAAAGGAGATTTTGGTGGCTGAAGAGACCAAAGCTTTCGCGCAAGAGCGCCCTTTTTTCCCAGCCCGGACTCACCCGAGCCTCTCCGTCTGGGCGCAGTCTCGCCCCTTTGGATCAGGTTCCCACGAGGCTCGCTGAAGAGGCCGCTCGGCCAACTCGCCACGGGACAAGAGTTACACTAAAATATCAAAGACTTAAATGAGTGATAACTCATAAAGTGAGTTATTACCATTTCTCACACTCACGACCGTTTCAGCACCCACCCCAGGGTCGTGTGATTTACATAGCAACTGTGACTCACATTTACGACGGCGGCGGTGTCCCCCTTTTGCGACCATCTGACAAGCAAAGTCAACGGGAACTCTAGATTCGCTTAGCAACCGGGTTCCTAACTTAAGAAAGGGACAAGGATTCACCGAATAATTGTTGCAAGGAAAACAAGGCGCACAGTTCACTTAACAAATGTCTCGCTTAGCCACATACATTTTGGGCTCCATCGCGGTCGTACGGCGAGGACTAGTAGTTATAATGGCCTGAATAGGTTTTGTGGGTTAGTTTTTAATTGTATAGATTGGGGTTTTAAATTGGGAGGCCGATTAATTTAATTTATTTTTAGTTATCTTAACTTTTATATTGTATGTTCTTTTAATTTTAATTTTCGGCTGTTCACCGCCCTGAGTCCCTTCGGGAGAAGGGCGGGATATAAATTCAATAAAATAAATAAATAAATAAATAATGGAATAGTGGCCCTTAAAGAAAGGTCAAAGCAGGGACGAAAGGAAACGAAACGCGAATGACAACAATTAAAATCATGTTTTATCGAGTTTAAATCATTAAAATGGAATTGTTCCAATTGTCCCGCCGCGGCGAGTTGACCATGGCGAGTTTTGTGTCTTCCCATTCCGGCTTTAAAGGCCGCTGGATCGGTCCACGGGCAGAGCTCGGGTGGGCTTTTCTCGCGCGGGTTCGGCCCAGATCTGTAGGCTTCCCGGCCCGGGGAAGGGGGCTTCACCAGACTGCGGAGGGCAGCCCGGCCGACTGGAGGGAATCCTTGGCCGGCCAAGCCTGGAAAAGCACTGCGCCTAAAAAGACCTGCGATCCTATCCGGAGGAAGCGCGCAAGGGCCGGGCCGGGGACCTTCGAGATAGGCCGGCGGTCCCTCGTGGGTTCCAGATCTCCAAGACGGGCGAGAGGGGTTTCGACCTTCCACGGGGAAATGGGGGGTGGGAGCTGCGCTATTCCCCTTCCATCTTTCGCTCCATCGGCGCCCTCCTTGATCGGTTCTTTCTTTCTTTACTTTCTTTCTTTCTTTCTTTCTTTCTTTCTTTCTTTCTTCTTGGCTTTCCTTTCTCTATCTATCTATCTATCTATCTATCTATCTATCTATCTATCTATCTATCTATGAGAGAGAGCTTTGGCCAGATTTCAGGGAAACGAAAGAGCGACGCCTGGACCACCGGCCTGGGACTGGGAGGTGGGGAAGAAGTGGGGGGGGGGGCTTCGGCGGCTCGGCCTTTCCTAGGGCGCGCATGGAGGAGCGAGCGAGAGCAGGGAGAGAGAGGGGGTGTCTGCTATTTTTTTCTCCCAATCGCCCCCCAAATGTGGGACTTAATCTGCTGCCCTTGAGGAGCCCCCGGCGTTTTAAAGCCCCCTCCCCTTTTAAAGGAGACCCAAGGCGACCCTTCCCCTCCCCTCGCGGGTCGGAAAGCTGCCTTGAGCCAAACCCAATTGTTCCCCCTCCCCCGTCCTTCTGCGCTGGGGGAGCCTTCGCCCGCATAGGGCTTCTTGAGACCCCGCGGCCCCCTCCCCACTCTTGCCTCCACCCCCCCATCCCGCCGTTTGGGCTCTCCACTCCCGAGGGTTTAGGCGGCCGGTTCAGGGTTGCGTGGGTCGCAGGGAAAATCAGAGCCTTTCTCGGCTTTGCTCCTGTCCGGCAACCAAATGCGGGAGATGGAAAAGGCACCTCCAGGTGATCCTTCCTGACTTGGACTATCCCAAGCAGGCGTTGTTTTGTTTAAAACTGCGGCTTGGAAGGAGCGGAGCCGGGAAGCGGCTCCTTGGTCCCCAGCGGGCCGTGAAAGGAGGGGGGAGACCCCTGAAGTCAGGCGCCGATAGATTCCGAGCAGCCAGTCATAATAATCCCAGTAACCACGAAGCGGACGAAGCCCCCCCTCTCTCCTCCCCCTCCTCCTCCCCCACAGCAACTAAAGAACTCGGGGGGGGGGAGAGGAGTCAGACGGTTGGAGGGGGCTCAGTGCTTCCTTCCCTCTCCCCCCCCCTTTGCTTTATGGGGCTGGCATAAAGATTCTCTCCTTGGGGGTCCCAAGCCAATATTTTTCCTTTTTTAAAAAAGAAAGAAATACAATAATCTTCCAGATTCAGGAAGGGATTGCTTAAAAAGGGGGGTGTCCCTCTTGAATTATTGCAAATAATAGTTGGGATCCATCCAATTCATTTTAGCTATGGTCTGTCCACTACAGCAGGGGTCTCCAACCTTGGCGACTTTAAGACTTGTGGACTTCAACTCCCAGAATTCCTCAGCCAGCAAAGCTTTAAGACTTGTGGACTTCAACTTTATTTGCAACGGATAAAGAGGGACCCTCCCCTTTCCAAAGACAAGGGTTGAAATGATGAACAGATCATTAGAGGAAGGGACCTCTAATCTAGTCCAGCCCCACACCAAGCAGGAGACCCTACACCATTTCTGACAGAGGGCAGTCCAGTCTCTTCTGGAAAGCATCCAGGGA